AAATGGACGGAACAGCATTACGAACCTATTATTTGTGATTTGTCAGTGTAAAGTTACGTACTTAGTTATTAGACAAACATTGTAGTGATTAGTGTTTACTATTTAGTCACTGTAGTAGTTGGGTTAATTTAATAATTTTTAGAATAGTAAATACGTACCTAAGTGGTAGACAGATATATTCAGGAATATGGGGCATTCATTGCAAGAAAATTCTCAGCATTTTTGGTAACCGCAAAAGTAAAAAACGACTAATTACTTTGATCACCTTGATATTTTTCAAGAGTTATAGTTTTCGCTGAAAATGGACTCTCGTTTTAGGCATTTTATTTTTTATTTAAAAAATTCATACGTTTTTTTTGAAAATGCAACATAGTGACTTAAACATTTTTATGTCACGAGCATGTATATGTATCGCACTGCTCTTAAATTTTTTTTCTGAAAAATTTCAGTTTCACAAATCCGGCCCTGTGCACTTTCACAATGGGTAATGATTAAGGGTGCTGTAAACTACCCACAAACTTAAACACGGAACCGGTTCATAAAATTCACATATTTTTAACACAACTTTATTAAAAAATCACAACGTTTTGGTGGTGAACCAAAATTCAAAATATTAAAAAAAGGCAACAGAAGCCTGAGAAAATACCATACAGCGCCGATGTTTTTGTTATAAATTAATAGTAAGCATACATAGACAACGCCGTCATGTATTTTATTTTAAATTTTAAATTAGAAATAGACGTTCATTTTGTCGAAGGCATTGTGTCAACAGAAAGATGTAAAAGTATTTCAAAAGAATATTGTTTATAAATAACATAGTATTATTAATAAGTGAGCTACCATTCTGCATTTAAGTTGATGCTTATGCAATTTTTTATGTGGCGAAATATGTATTATTGTATACTTAAATTATGAATATTAAAAAATTCAGTTCTAAAATATATTAAGCTTTTTTAAAAAAACAGGAAAAGTTATCTAATTCTACAGTATTTCAAATAATTAGAAAGTACTTGAACCATTTTCAGTACTTCAGGTATTTGTAAGTACTTGAAGTATACCTCCAGTACTTCAAGTACTCGTAAGTACTTGAAGTAATGTACTTGGCTTGTACTTCAAGTACATCTGAAAAGTACTTGATACTTGAAATACTCTTGCTGAAAGTAAGTACTTGGTACTTTACTTAAACACTATTTCAAGTAGTACTTTGTACTTGGTACTTCAAGTACTTTTTTTGAGTACTTTGAACAGCTCTGGCGCGGGGCAAACGTATATGGGATGGGGGCACCATTTATAAATTAAAAAAATATCGATTTTTCAAATTTTAGTGGGACGTAACTTCAGATTGGTTTAAGTATCCGCCTTGTGGCTTCCAGTCTTCGATACTTAGAAGTTTTCTGGTCCTACTATATTATTTTAAGATCGGATATTCTACCCGTTTAGAATGAAGGGATGAATATATATGGGACGGGTGTCATTTCAGAATTAAAATACAATTTTTCACATGTTAATGGGACATAACTCCAGAACAATTTAAGTATCTGTCTGTGATTTTCAGTATTCGGTTCCTCAAAGTTTTTTGGTCCTACAACCTGATTTTTAGACCGGATACTCTAAGTGTTTAATACAGCGGTACAAATGTATATGGGACAGGTACATAATTTATACATTAAAAAAATATAATTTTTTTAAATTTGAGTGGGTCATAACTCCAGATTGGTTTAAGTATGCGCCCTATGGTTTCCAGTTTTTGATTCTTCGAACTTTTCTTATCCTACGGTATAATGTCAAGACCGCATACTCTACCCGTTTAGAATGAAGGGAGGAATATATATGGGATGGGTGTTATTTAAATTTAAAAACAATTTTCAAATTTAACGGGACATATCTCCGGAACGATTTTAGTATCTGTCTTGTAGCTTTTAGAAATCTATTTCTTGAAATTTTCTAGTCCAGTGGTCTGATTTTCGGACCGGACACTCTACTCGTTTACTTATTATGGAAAGAAAAATGTATATGGTTGTCATTTACAAAATTAAAAACAATGTATCAAATTTAATGGGACATAATTTCAAATTTTACTCTTTTTGTATGGAGAAAGAAATATATATGGGACATGTGTCATTTATGAATTTAAAAACAACTTTCAAATTTAATAAGACATAATTCCAAAGCGGTTATAGTATCTGCCTTTCAGTTTTCAGCATTCGTTTCCTCAAAATCTCCTAGATCTGTCAGATTTTTAGATCGGATAGTCTGCTTAGTTACTTTGGAAAGAAAAATGTATATGGGACGAGTGTCATTTACGAAATCAAGAACAATTTTCAAATTTAATGGAACATAACTTCGAAATTTTATAGTACCACGGATTTATTCTGAAGTCGGATAATCTACCCATTTAGTATGGAAGCAGAAATATATAAATATGGATCGAATGTCACTTTCGAATAAATAAACCATTTTTCAAATGTTAATATGGCATAATTCCAAAATAGGTTAATTATTATTTGTCTTGCGATTGTCAGCATTTGATTCCTTGAAGGTTTCTAGTCATACAGCCTGAATTTCAGGCCAAACATTCTACTCGTTCAGTAAGGAGAGAAAAATATATATGGAGCGAGCGTCATTTATGAATTTTAAACAATTTTTAAATTTAATAGGACATAAATTCAGGACGGTTTTACTATCTGCCTTTTAAAGGCTACTTGTTTATTATAGAGAAAAAAATATGTATATGTATAGGACAGGTGTCATTTCCGAATAAATAAACAGTTTTTCAAATTCTAACCGGACATAACTCCAGAATGGTTTTTTTAAGTATTCGCTCTGCGTTTCAGTATTCAATTCCTGGAAGTTTTCTGGTCCTGCAGCCTGATTTTAAGACCACACACTCTATCCGTTTAGAATGGTGGGACGAGTATCACTTACCAATTTAAAAACAAAAAAATCTAATTTAACGGGACTTAACGGTTTAAGCATCCGCCTTGAGATTGTTAGCATTTGATTCCCCGAAGTCTATTACAGAGGACACGAAAAACATGTCCTACTATTAATCGTTTAATTAAATAGTTAAAAAACAGTATATGTTATGTGTTAAGTAGATTGTAGTAATTAAAATCGGATACATAGTGTATGAAAACTTAGGTCCCCCGATTCCGTCTGGTTGTCGTCTGTTGGTGACTTTATTAGATCGACAATTTCCAAAACTACTGGAATGGTTGTTCGAAATTTTAGATTCATCGCTAAACAAAATGTTTTTGATTTTCCCCACCAACAACATAATGACGTCATCTCAAAATTTTGAAAAGTAAATTAAATTTATTTTAAATTTTAAATTTCATTAAACATGTTTGTATATCTATGGTTTATTAGTCATCCTTTTTGTCTTAAATGTCTAAATGTTTTGGACACAAAAAAATGTAAAACCACATTTTATAATTTAACTTAGAAACTATTAAGCCGAAATCTTTCAAACGTTCGGTAATCAATATTTTGAGTGTCACAAAAAAATAATAAATGAGAGGCAATTTCTTTCATAGATTGAATCAAAAACGGCTTTTTTTATTTCCTTGAAATTCTAAATTCTAAATTCTATACTGTTACTTTTTAAAATTTTATTAAGGAACTCTCACTTAAAATATGTAATTTAATATTAGTCACAGATTTTTATCTTAACTTACAGGGGTTATCATACAACAAATAAAATTCACACAATAAAATTTTATGATTTATTGGAACACTCGATTTGTTTGATTGTGTTTCCAAGACGAGGGAAGTTCGCCCTCTTTTTAGATTGTCGACAAGTTTTTAAAAGAATTTGAAATTATCTTGAGGTTTTTGATGTTATGATTTTAAGAGAGCTTGAAAGAGTCTTAACAGCCCATTGTCTTTTTTTTTAATAGTATGTAAGAATCTTGTTTTATTAATTTAGACTATTTTTCAATATCTAGACAGACGGATAACAACATTTCGTGTTGGAATGATGGTTAGATTTTTTCGTTCGCATATTTTATAAATTTGTTTAAAAGTTGGTGTGTGCAGCTTTAGAAGTTAATCATATGCGATAATTTATTCATTAAAATTTTGTATCCAAAAAAATTTCATACTTTTGTACTAAATAGACTACAATAATTAAACAGCTTGATGTATAACAACATCATAACGAAAAGCTCCCATATTCCCAAATATAATTCATGAATACATTAAACATACTTTCTTTTTTGCATTTTGCTTTTTAAGTGTATAATTAAACTTTCAAAAGTTAATGTTATAAATAACTTTTTAATTAATTAGTTAGAGTTAAGCAGGGATAAAAATATAAATTAAATTTAATTTTTACGTCTTGAGTGAACCACAAACATCGTGCTGATTTAATAACATTTCCAAAGACATTTTCAAACTCGCTATAAGGAAGCAAATATTACGTCTTTCGAAACGTCAGCAAATTCAATACGACATTACCCACAAGACCTCCGTCACGATAACTAAGGATCTAGATTAATGCCATTTTGACGAAATTATTGATGACAAGCATGCAAATTGGGTAGCTTTAGGACGCGTGGAAACGTTGAGTCAAAACATAAGAAGGAACTTGCATACATATTTGCTATTAAATAATGTTAATAGAACTATTCTGAGGATTGTACAATATTACATCAACCAAATAGTATTTTTTGTAAGATCCTTGTGACCAGGACTTTAAAAGACCCACTAGTTATGATGTACATTTACAAAGTTCAATTTTCTAAAAATGATGAAAAATGTTACCGTAACTCGTAATTTGATGCATATCGCGCAGTAAATATTTATATATCTTTAAAGTTAGCAAGCACCACTAAGAAGCTATATTTTCAGGTTTTATTTTACACCTTGGATACTAACTGGAATAAATTTAACCATAATTTAAAACATTGGTTCGTAGATGAACCTGACGTTTGTACATGTCCTGGTTAATGTCTCAATCCTCGAAACTTATCATTTCTGTATAAATTTATCTGATTCAGGTCCGATAAATTACGTCCTTTCGTCGCATCCGTTTAGAGTTCTGGCAAGAATCAGCTACTCTATTTATTTGCTGCACATGTTGATGCAATATTTAATGAGTGGAGCGGCGAAAATGCCTGGCTATTTTTCGGACTTCAGTGCTGTAAGTGGCAGAGATAAAAAATTGCACGACTTCGTGAAGTCACCACAATACCTCTGAATGAAAAATTAATCTCCTCATTGTTTGTTCACTTCCTTAATGTTTAATAAAGGAAATGTTCTTTTTCAGCTTTGCGCTGCCTTTGGTGACTTATTTATAATGGTTATAATCGGATTTGCGTTTACAGTCTGCTTTGAGATGCCACTGGTTAAGCTCTTGACCATTCTTTTAAAAGGAGGTACGATATTACGAAGTTAAGAACGTCTACTTAAAAATGCTCCCTTTTATTGTGAAAACATTGGATTTTGTCATTTCAGGGAAACGGATTAAAGTGGAACCGAAAAATTAGTGAGAGAGTCAGTATCAAATGGGTGTAATATTGTTAACTACTAAAAGTTGACCTTTTGTTAGTTTCTGTGTATATTTGACTAATAGCAATAACGACCATGTTATTTGTATTGATTTTTGCATTATAGATTAATATATGAAAATTGAGGTTTAGTAATGTTTTGTTTAATGTATGTAAAATGTGTAAAGGTTTAATAAAATACATTACTCAATGAAGCTTTTAGCTAAATAACCTGTAGTGATTTTATGTCATTTTATAAATGATATATTTAAATATTTAGTTAATTAGGAAGATAGGTGCATTTATCAATTATTCGATATCAGCCCTTTTTTAGCATTAGGTCAAAAAAAAAATGAAAAATATTATCTATTGGGTATTAGAGACTTTTACAAAATTTTATAACTGTTCTATACTTGAGTTGCTAAAAATGAGACCTAAGAAGCAAAAGTTTTATAAAGACTTATGTTTAATGTAACAGTGTAGTCTTGCAAAGCAAACTTGGACGAAAATTAGTACAGCTAAAAATAAATACTTAAATACTTACGTTAAGATCTCGGGTGAACTTTGTGATGATCATTAAAATTGAAAACAATGTAGCGCTTATAATTAACTACTAATTGTAATAATTAACTTGATATACAATGCGTCAACCTTTTAATTAAATTTGGTAAAATAAATTGTAACTCTTAAGATATTTGCGTAGAACTTTCAACCTGCTTCGATTTTTCGATAAATTCATCATTTTGTGCTTTTCGTTACAAACGTGGGCGTCATTCAACCGTACAAGTTATAATTCCTTGAAATCAGCTTTTTTAAATACAGGTCGTTAAAAATATTTCTTCCTTTGAAAACTGTGCATGTAGCTGTTCCACTTTTAATTGAAAAATACATTTCTTTCCGCCACGGAAACAATTACATTTTCATTCTGTATGCTGCTGCAGTATACGAATGCAGACCATAGCGCTGTTTGGATTGTATCAACGACTAGCGGCTATGCAGGAATTCAGACAACATTAGTGTGATATTTGGTTTAACGGCAGGATTTCGAACGTTAGCGAGCTTCCAGGGGAAAAACAGCAGTAAGCTAAATTAGTGAGTGCAACGGAGGAATCTATATTTAGAATACCCGGGGACCCAATTATCAATTATATCAAATTACCAACTGGAAGATCGAATTCCCGTCTAAAATCTCACATGCTCGTGGATTTTAATGCAAATTTGACCGATCCGAGTAGTAATTATTATTTAAAGTGGCGCTTAAGGGTTGCAGTGGCGTATTTGGGGTTTACACTAGGGGGATGAATGTAAAATAAAAAGTCTGTTTATATTTAATAACCGATAAAAAATTAAGCCCAGCAGAACATTTGCTTCAATAATTTACAAATCTGAATTTTCTGGTGCATTGCTTTTATTTTGTGTCTGGGATCGTCTACACCTTGCATTAGAGACGGGTTATTAAAGCACAACTTTTGTTTTTTGTTGTTTGACACATTCTCTAATATTAATTAGTGACTTTGATGAAAATGTTCAAACTCTATAGACTAGTAATTCTTTAGAACATAATAATATAGAAAAATAATTTATAAAGATTACGAAAAGTAAAGGTTCTAGGTCCTTGAGGTATGCCAGTTGTTGGTATTAGATTCTAGGAAAAATGATATCCACGTTTCTGAATTATTTTTTCGATTAAAAACATTTGTTTGTTTTTCATCTCCCATCAGCAAGAAGTTTTTTAATTAAAATGATCTTTGCTGTTTATGCTCGTATCAATCTAAGAGTCCTCTCAGTACTCTTTATTCTTCAATTCTCACCAGAGTAAACTGTGTTAAATACAAATCTACTTAATTAGTGACAATAAGGTGAGTTGCGCCGAAATTATTTTGTACATAATCGCTGTGTAATTAGACGTGTAAATTTGAGCTACTAAGAAATAAATTTTTGAGTTTAACCCACGCCGATTTTAAACACCCGTTCAACGTAACAATATCATATAATTTACAGACAAATAGATGACGGGGACCTATTCTATAAATCTTTTTATAAAAGAACATATTTCCAAACTGAACCAAATAAAGCTGATCCGAGTCGACCGAGCCGAACCAACCCAACCCAAACCACGCCCAACCAAGCCAAATTAAGCCAAGTCGAGCCGAGGAAACTAAGAAAAATTGGTTCTTTTATCATTCATTACAAATAAGAGATTAAGCAGCGTAGATCAGGGAGAAATATAAATCCGCCTTCATTTTTTACTTTAATCAATAAGATTTTTAGAAAAAAAGTCAAAATTATGTAACATTTCCAATTTATCTCAAAAATTCTGAATAACCGAATGCTCCGAAATTTTGCAAACATCAGCATCAATCGGTAATCGAAATGTATCTGTTTATCCTCTCCAAAAACTTGATGACGTCATCGCAATATTTTAGGTATAGATTAATTAAACAACGACTTACATCATACGAAATTTTGACAATATAGTACTACTGTATAGTATTATACTATACTAGACGTTCAAAAGTTGATAATGCTAGGACTCACTTGAAACGTACGCATGGCATGCTTCTGTGACATATCTATGATTAAGAACACCTCAGTAATTCACTTCAAAACTTTCAATAATTTATAACTATTATCAAAATTATCAATAGATTTAGTGTAGCATCATAAAAGTGCCAATTCATGTCTTATAGTCAACGCGCGGAATTGTGTTTCATACGCTAGATCCAGTGCTGTCGCGGCGATAGTTTGATTACAAATATATTTTTCTTTTGGACTATATCAACATAATATAACATTTCAAGATCACAAATCTGTGGTCCTGTGTTTGAAAAATTAAAAAGGGCATCGAGTATTTTTATTTGAAGTAATATAGTAGTAAAGAAGTAGTTTTTTAACAAGCTGTAAACACTCCTAGCGACACACTGGCTACGACCTTGTGGACCAGATCAAAGCGTCCCCGCTACTCGCCGTAAAACACACCTTGCTTCAACTGGGGAATTGCATCCGTAAGATACTTTTCCGCCCAGTGCTTATAGTTCAAATCAAAATTTTCTGTTATCTATAACATCTCCTTTACAAATTAACAACAATTAAATGGTATTTTGTTTTAAACATATTGTAATAAATTAGAAGTAAAATGACAATTTGCGATTAAATACCACCAGTATTTAAAATAGTCGCCCAATATTGTAAAAGAGCAATTCAAAAATAATGTTCATATTACATCTGGAAACAGCGCGAATTGACCCGTCGTGCAAAGTCATTAAATCTATGTATTTAAATAATATTTAAACACATACAAGTACAACACAATTGCATTAATTAATTAAAATTAATTACAAAAAACATTGTTCAACCAGCCTAGACTATGTGTAATTTCCTAACTAACATTTACAAAATTATTTTGACTAATTCCATCAATTTTTTGGGAGGAATAAACAGATATATTTTGATTACAATAACTTTAAAACTTCTGTAGGATTTCAAAGTACTCAGTTTTGCAGTTCTTGACTTATTCAATAAAATAAATTGACTATTTCATTAAATTTTTGAGTCACCCTGTATAAGCGCCTCAAAAAAAAATTAATGCAGTGATAAATCACAAGTATAGACTCATCATATTTTGCACATTTAAGACAGGATTTATTCAGCAATATTTTGACGTGACGTCACCAATTTTTTAAGGGGATGAGCAAATACATTTTGATTAAAAAGTTACCATGCTTACAATAACTTCAAAACGTCTGCGAGATTTCAAAGTATTCAGGTTTGCAATTCTTGATTTAATCAACAAAATAAACTGACTCAGTCATTATCTTTTTTGAGATACCCTGTATCAGCAAATCTAAAAAATATTAATGCAGTGATAATCAGACGCATCATATTTTGGAGATTTTAGGTAGGATATATTCAGCAATATTTTGAGGTGACGTCATGAATTTTTAGGGGGGGGATGAGCAAATACAGTTTGATCAAAAATTTACCATGCTTATGATAATTGTAAAATATTTCCAGGATTTCAAAACATTCGGTTTTGCAGTTCCTGATTAAATCAATAAAATAAATTCATGTATTCATTAATTTTTTGTCACCTGTATAGTATCAGCAAATCGAAAAAACATGAAATTCAGCAAAATTTTGGGCTGACATCATGAATTTTTTGAAGGGAATAAGCAAATATATTTTGGTTAAAAATTTATTATGCTTATCATAACATCTGCAAGATTTCAAAGCATTCGGTTTTGCAGATTCAATATTAAATTGCAAAATGTTGTTAAACCAGCAGCGAATATGTGCAATTTCGTAACTAAAATTTGCAAAGTTATTTTTGAACAAGTCATCATGACGTACGATGATGTTTTTTTAACGCGAGCTATGTGAGTAGTATGAAATAAACAAATTTAAAATAAAAAAAATATGTTAAAGTGTTTAAAACTACGAATAATAAACTTCTACTAAATGATGTTTTTCTTTATTTTCAGTACGTCTGTATTTTAAATGACAGGTTGTACTAGAAACACCACTATAACAATGAATTAAAATAACTTAAAATAAAAAAAAAACTTATATTAAGGTATTTAAAATTATAAAAATGATTTGCTGCTAAGCAATACTTTTTTTTATACTCAGTACGTTCGTATTGCTGAAGATGAGGGGAATCGTCAAAAATAGTACCAGAAGCTAAACTAAAAAGTTCTGATTTTTTTGTAATGAAAATATTAAATTCCGAGTGCGCTTTTAAAACACATAGTGAAAAAAAGTGCGGCCAGAACTTTGCCCCAGTGCTGTGTTAAAAAATGGCGGCTCTTCTTTAACCGGACAGGCGATATTATGTTTAATCTAAAGTTTAGATAAAAACCATTTATTATTTGTTTAATTTATTTTATATTTTTTTAATAATATATATTTAATATCATAAGAAATAAGCATTTGCTCGATGATGTTTTTCATTTTAATTCCCGACGTAAGTGAAGGAAGTATTGTAATCGAGTCAACTCTCTACTTTTACGTTTTCTCGACCTTCCATGATCCGTAGAGTGCGAAGAAATAGGTTTTCCTTTTCCGTCGGTCTATCTGACCGTCTGTCTGTTTGTCTGCCGTCACGGATTTTTATTAGACAGATAATCTCCGAAAGTACTAGGCCGATGGTTGTCAAATTTTATATTTATCCGAAACGTCCAGATTTTTATAAAAAATCAAAATTATAAAACAACATTTTGCAATTTAATTTTGAATCTGCAAAACCGAAAGATTTGAAATCTTGCAGATGTTGTAAGGTTATAGGCATGATAAATTTTTAATCAAAATATGTTTACTTATCCCCTCCAAAAAATTGATGATGTTAGCTCAAAATTTTACCGAATAAAGCCTATCTAAAATGTAGAAAATATGATGAGTCTGTACTTGTGATTTATCATTCCATTCATATTTTTTGGATTTGCTTATATACGGGGTGTCTTTAAAAATTAATGATTGAGCCAATTTGTTTTATTGTTTAAACCAAGATTTGCAAAACTGAATATATTGAAATCTTGCAGACGTTTTGATGTTATTATACGCACGGTAACTTTTTAAGTAAAATGTATCTGTTTGTCAGCCCCAAAAAATTGATTACGTCATCTCAAAATTTATCAATTTATTTTATGGAATAAATCAAGAATTGCACAACTGAATGCTCTGAAACTTTTCAGACATTTTGAAGTCATTGTAAGCATGGTAAATGTTTAATCAAAATAAATCTGTTTATTCCTCCCAAAAAATTGATGACGTTATCTCAAAATTTTGCCGAATAAATTATACTCAAAATGTGCAAAATATGATGAGTTTTTACTGGTAGATTATCATTGTATTCATATTTTTTATTGATCAAATTAAGAACGTGGCAGTTCATTTTCTCGAAAATGTGAAAATCCAAACGTCTTTATTTAATAACAATTATTATAATAATGATATTCAGAACTTTTTGTTGATTGTAGCTTCCTATTTAATAGTTTTGTTCCTCTGTTTTCACTCATTCAAATCGACCTAATTTCTACCCGACATTCTTCCGATGTTTAAACATAAACAGTTTCAAGTTGTTTTTCTAATCAAGGATAACCTAGGGACGTACAGTAATGGGGTCCATCGGGCAATATATTCATATTTCATATTTTCTCGATATTTCATAACCCCTAGACAAGGCCGTGGTTAGGGAGAAGCTAGGGGATGCTGAGCCTCCCCTACATCTAGACAAGTTATAATAAACCAAATGTGAGTTATAACATCGAAAATCAAAATAAAATGAACTGTTTTATTCAATAAGCGGAAGTCAGAGCAATAAAAAAGTCTGGACCGTCGGCATTGTCATCCGGTTATTGTAATTCGTAGAAAACATCTTTTTATGTATTAATTTAACACTTTTGAAATCTAATGGAACGGTATAATTAGCAGTAACATAACAAACAAATAATATAATGGAAACAATTAATATAAACAGCACAGGCTTATTATGAAAGTTTCTTCATCGTAGGTGGCTTAAACAAAAGCGGAAAGCGACAAATGAATAGACCGAAATTTTTTTAAGCCATCTACGATGTACGAAACGAAAAACGAAAAAATGTAATGACATTGTTTTTCACAAAATTCGTGACCATTTCCACTTTTGGTAATTCTAAATTCATATAATAGCTCCCGTAATAGACTTTTCAAAAAAATTGTCCTCACAAATCTTTATGAATATGTATAGCCAACAATGGGACGATTGCTGCTCCTTTACTAGGGTAAATTTTGGTCAAATTGTTTAGAATTTACACTGTGATTACTAATATTTAATACATTTTTTTCACAGTATTTTTATGTAAGATTTATTTTTAAATGTATCACCATTTTAATCTCCTTAAAAGACTTATATATTTTTAAATAATTTGTTATTAATTATATTTAGTTGTTTTTAATGTTTCTTGAGACCTGTTAAGGACGTATTTTTTGATTTTACTTATAAAAAAATTTCTTTGAGCTGTGACATATTTAATATCATTTTTCATGTTTGTTTTCACAAATAGAAGTGTCAAAAAACGTCTGTATAATATCTGCTAATCTAGACCACACTACGTAATTTCACAAATGCTAAAATATTCTTGCAGTGGGAATTTATGTGTAATGTATTACCAGGATAACGTATAAACTATTGCAAAATACGAACAATGCTAGGGGAAGACCTTCCCCCACTAAATGCGCCACTGGAATCCTCAATTTCTTGCAGCAACAGCCAATTTCCAAGAGCAATAAGCAGGTACTAACTCCCACTTATCCGAAGCAATTACGCTCACATCAAAGTTCGGTAGTTAAACTATGCCAAGTCGGTGCTTTCATCATGTCTGCATTACGCCAAGCAAATTGACTAAGTAATTTCAGCGGCAATGGCAAAAAGTAATTATCGACACATGTCAGACACTTAGTGAATGACGGATGCAACAAGGTCCGAATCGCGTCGTGGGCGCGCGAAAGGAACGCATGCCCTACGGAGGGGAGGCGTTGTCCTGCAGTATAACCGCGCCACGACGTCGAGGACGCCCATTCATCGGCGAAAATCCACCTGTGACACTGCACAGCGTCTTTAGTTTGGTTTTCGTTCGAATTATTTCACGTATCATGAAGTACACTTGGTTGGTATTAGCTTCCTGCGTCGTGTTGGTTCTCGCGGAATTACTTCCGGGGACCTCCGCAGGACCTTATTTAGAGGACGGTGAGTTTGAAAAATTTCTTTGTAAATGCTTGAGCGGAAAAGTTTCGAGCGAAAGGGGGATACCCGCAATGTTTTCGTTGAGATTGTTTACACGTTTATGTTGTTTTGCGTAATTTGAAACGGTGTTTACTTATTATAATTTATGAATGAAAATAATAATCATTTAAACGTACATCTGCACTTTATAAAGAAACAAGAAAATCATTACGAGGTTAGTTTATTTAGTTTGTTATTTGCTGTTTCACGTAACATTTTCAGAAGTTTGTTAGAAAACTCGAGGGAAGTTAATTTCCGTTCTTGTCAAGAAATAATGCCAGGACTGATGAAGTAGCTCCAGCTGTGACACATGTTTTGGTGGAGGCGCCGGGTTGCTAAAAATTTAATTCGTGATATTTTGTTCTTTTCAATTCTTACAAGTTTGCTATAAATAATAGTTTAAATTGTTAATTTCATTAAAGATATTTTTAAGCTACAATCAACAGAAAATTGGTAAGTATGTTGAAACTTTTGTAAATGTTATTATTTTATTGTGGTTATTATGAAATATTTTTAATGCTCTCCAAAGACCAGAAAAAGTATACTATTTTGAAACAAAAATTGAATAAATTAACGCGCAGCGCTGCAAATATTGATAACACTCTTTTTCCGAGTCCGGCGCAATTGACATCGATAAATTTAAACTAATCTGGATCAGCAGCTGAAATACGAAATTCAGTGCCTGAAAATAACAATACAGGTGTTTCAGTGAAAATTGCTGGGGCAGATATCCTTGCAATAGAGGCTAATTTTTTTAATAAAAGTAACAACAATAAAACTAAATTTACAAAATATCTTACCATTACTGACCCAGAAAGCTTTCAAGTGGAGAGATAGATAGTCTGATTTGAAAAATTTGATATAGTGGGGATAACTCGCTAATGGTTGATTTTAATAACATGTTTTCTAGGTAATAAATTAGAGTTGATCCTTGAAAATAGGTCGCAATTATGGAGAAATCTCTATATGAATAATAATAATAATAATAATATCAGTCGAATGCAGATTATATCTAGAGCGAGCACTATTTTTATCACAGAAACAGAGAAAAGCCATCAATGATTTTATGAATTTCTGTTCCATTGTACAAGTTTTGTTTGTTTTAACTAATTTTATATTCGGTGACGCGTTATGAGGGCTTTTGATTCCCGGCAAACACAAACGTTAATTTGATTTCAGTTTTAAATATTTTTCAAAAAAGTCATTCGTTAAAAAGCACGACAACGGTTGAGTAAAAAATTTTACAGTAAGCAGTTTATCTTTATAAATAAACCAGTCAGAAAGAAGGTAAGTCTTAAAATTGGATGAAATCACTTGAATACAACTCCTGTAAAAAATAATAAATTTAACGACAGAGAATCTACAAAATAAAAGTTTGTCTGGTGACACCATAAAATTGATGTCAGTACTTTCGAGGAAATGGGTTGTTTTTTTCTCAATACGCCCAAGAAATTTACTACAGGGTAAGCGGCAAAAGTTTCCACAAATTCCAATAAAAATACAGCAGTAAATAATAATTATTGAACTTAGTGGACACTGCTTACTTTCTCATCGAGTAATTGTCAGTTTACAACATTTCTTTAAATTGTTTTTTATTTTAAATTCACTTCCTTTAACTCGCTCCATTTAATAATAATACAATTTGATATATGCTATGCGAATTTCAGCCCATTATCTGTATACACAAAATTGTTAGAACGGGAAGTTTTAAAACAGATCCTGTATAAGCAACGTTGCTTTACTCTATGTCTGTATCCGTTTTCCTCCATAAAACGAAAGCTTTTATAAGTTTTTCTTGCACATTTTAAGTCGTCGGGTAGCCGTTGAACCTAAAAAAAAATATGAAAAATCGTCTGTGTGTTGAGACCACATATGGTACACCACACGATTATTTGTAGCAAAGATTACGTTGCGACGACATCGTATATTATCAATATAATAAACCCAAGCAAGCTAAAACTGTACCCCGGAAAGTTAAAATAATAAACAAACGTTAAACAACAAAGCGATCCAATTTTTCCGTACATAAAGTAAAATTAATCTGGCTGACGTAATAAACCACAGACGTTATTCTTTGACGACATCGTTCCAGATTTCACTGTTGGGTGCAAAAGAAACTCTTATTTATGTACGATAATATTACAAAAGCAATGTTTCACAATATTATTAAAAACTAATTTTTGCAAAAAAAAAAACATTTCTTGGCACACAACTCATTCGTTTGTAAGAATATTTTTTTAGGTTTGTGAACCTGTTGCATGCAGGCGAGACCTTATTATGTTTTCCGGGACAGATAATGCTTTATTTGGGTTGCCTTATTCAAAAGTTTTCATATCTCTCGTCATTTCTCCTGAGAATGGTCGTCCGAGTTCACATTTGCGAAGTTTCCTTAACAATGTCGTCGCAATGGCCATACAGGGGATCATGGCAAGTCAAAGATAGCAACAAATTTCGGAACACTGACATGGGTTGGGTACATGTGAAATTATTTAGTGTAGCGGTAGCCCATAAATAACACTCTACATACTTATGTGGAAAGTTATAAACTTTACTAATGCATACATTATTCCAGTATCATTTTTATTGAAATTTATGTTAAGGCACAGGAGATTGAAATTTCAAAGTAGTGGCTCTGCTTCGACGTATTACTATGTAAATGATTTTTTTTTTAACTTATTCAAGTTAATATTGGGGGTCGTACTCGTTTTTCTAAGCTTAGTTATTAAAACTTCCACGCGTCCACTTTTTTTGAAAGAAAAATAAAACTTTAAAGTTCTCATGAATAAGAATCGTAGTGTGGTGGAGTTGCTGAAACTTTTATACTTGCCAACTTTAATATTAAGAAATCTTGAAAACTGACAACACTGAAATGTTATGAAATTCAAGAAGCCAATATTGCAACATAAGAACTGTTTGTTGTTGAAATAATATTAAGTTTCAAAGGAAAATTAAGTGCATAATGATCTGGTCTTGTTTGTGTATGGTAAAATCCGAATTTTAAAATTTATTCATAAAATATTCCATCCTCATTTTGAAAGGAACTTTCATCATACATTTTTATCGTAAGATGGAGTGAATTTGAATAATATAAGTTAATAATTTACCGAGGAGTCTTCACTCCGGATTCAGCTAGTAAGTCTAAGAGATAAATAAAAAAGCAAACACGTGTTTTTCAATTTAAAATTTATGCCGCTACTCCCACATTCTATGTGTAAATCGGTTTGGTCATTTTATCGAAAAAGCTTTCGGTGTATATTGAATGACGAATTTTCGAGCTGCGGTAATGTCGTTATGTGAAAAATCTTAACTACCTAACCATAAAAGCCCTATTCATGCTAGACAATTATTTTTATTATCGCCCTTCGCCCATAAAACTACTTTAATGATGGGAAAATCATAAAAAGCATATTTCAATTTTATGGTTTTATTTATTATTTATCGTCATGTAGTAGTTCACTAAAGCAGCTATAAATAGATTGTGGCTGAAATCGTGGCAACAAAAAGGCCCTTATTGTAATAGTTCGTACCCACCCTCGCTGTTTATCACCCGGCTGCATACTCAGAATTCCCCTCATCGCTATTGTACTTCGAATTGCTACAACTTGCATTAATTAATCCGCACATGAAAATTAACCGACGTTTTCATAAATTTAATTAAGCTGGTGACAAATGTGAAGAGGATATGTAGCTCGTTATCTCGTGTCAATAGAATAATACAAATATCGTTGTTATGTAACCAAGTTGTCAACTCGAGAAATAAAAGACACAGTTGTGTACGAGCGTTGTATAAATAATCTCGGACATAAATTACGCTCAACTGTTACATTTTCCGTAAAAATTATACGAGGAAGGTATTAATCGTGGTTCGCTGTAACTACTAAACTTCGTTTAATTTTTTAATGAAGCTTTATTGCTTTCAGAAACAAGTTTACTTTAAAACATGGGTGCGCTTCTTTGTACTTCGTAATTAATTTTAAAAGGGGATTGAAAATGCGGTCAAAAAGGCAAAATCGGTTATTTTTATCGTTAAGTGTAGCGTGGTTTTTGGTTTACTTTCGGTTAAAGGGAGATTGTTGACGTTAAGCACTTCGTGTTAGCTTTAGTTTAATATACCTATTCAGGGTATTATCCGTTAAACATAATTAGCGTTGTGTTCAGTATTTTGTCTTAGTAGGTTTTTATTTACGAATCCACTAAATTTATAAGAAGCGAAGTCGAGTTGCTGGAATGAAAGCAATAATTAGGGTCATTTTGTTAATAATAACAAATAATTCTCAGCTATAGAAATTTTCCCGAAAACTTGTAAATGTCAACCATATACCTACATAATCAATGAGAGAGACCCGAGAACTGAACCCTGTCGCACTCCAGTCGATCGAACTATTATTTTTTGTTGTGTACGTATAGGTGTTTGACACAGTGAAATTTGTTTCACTCATAATAATAAATTTTGGTTGAAATACTTACGAATTGCTTTCAAACATACTTAATTGGAAGAAAAAATTTGTTATTAATTATTATTATCTTCATTATTCGAAAATTATTTCAGTGTATTAACTATTACTTTACCGCATATCAATTTCGAAATTTCTAGTAATAACGTTTAATTAAAATTTTGAAATGCGTAGGTAACGAAAGATTTTTTTAAACAAATATAAAGGCTCGAATACAATCACAGTTACATTGCTAGAATCAGTACTGTTATTACCGCTAAAAATCTATGACAAAACTTGAAGTAAATTCTAAATTTAGAGATACGAAAAATTCAGAAAAAAAATCAACTAACAACGAAATTAAAAAACGAAAAAATCGCATTTTAACTAATGGAGTGATAAGAGATTTTCCAAATTCACGTACCGACTCTTGAGCTGTGCCGTTAAAATGTGATTTTTATTTATCATAATTTCATTGTACGTCGATTTTGTTTTGAACATTTTTAAAATTTCATTTTTCTGCATTCATAA